CCTTACAGCAATTGGTACTTTGATTTTAAATTTCGTGGTGAATCTCACTAGTTGCTCGTGTGGTAAATGGGTTTTCTATGCTCCAAATTTTTTAAATAACCAAACTACTATAATAATATAACTGAGTGAAAAATGTCCCCAATCCCCCTCCTCCCAGCAAGAAGCGATCAATTAATTTCACGTTGGCATCTCGTTACGTAAATCAATGAATATTACATTTAGGCGGCAAATAAGTACCCGCAAAGTCATCAAACTTTGAAAAGTCCAATAAGGAAAAAAAAAAAATTCACACCCTCTTATAAATTGTGTTATGGTATGCAGATCGATGCGGAGACGGAAAGACAAACTACGTTCGCGGAGATGAAAGATCGCAGCGTTCGGTGCGCATTATGGATGGAAAAGCAGGGAATCGGCAACAGAGACGTAGTTTCGGTCTGCACGGACAACACACTCGACGCGTACATCCCCGAATTGGCGACCTTTTACATCGGCGCCACGTACAATCCCTGGCACCACGACGTCGCATTGAGTATATAAAGTCACACGAAAATCCTTACTTCGGGGCAGTTTGGAGACGGTTAAAGTTTCTTTTTCACCGACTTTGAAAAAAAGGAGAGCATGGACACCAAATGAGGCCCAAATTTTGTTTGGATTCGATCAAACCTTCGAACGTACCTCTACTCTATATTTTGTTGGCCAAAACCAGCTAGTTGCCGAGTAAAGACAGCTAAATAAAACTTTCAACGATCTCCGGACCGCCCTCGTGTGTCCAGCACATCGATGACAATTCCCTCGAAAAACTACCCTGTACAGAGCCAGCGAGGCACCTGATGCAACTGGTACGCCCGAGGGTGATGTTCAGCTGCGAGAGCGCAGTGGCCACCCTCCAGGAAGCCGCGAAGCTGGAAAACGTCGAGGTGAAGATCATCTCGCTCGACGACTCCTCCCAAGCCCTCGACGCTACACTACTCGAGCAGTCGTCGGAGGAGGTGGACAGCTTCGTCCCTCCGGAGGTGAAAAACCCCACTATACGGCACCAGCGCTGATCGTCTTCTCATCTGGCTCCGGTGGCCGGCCCAAGGGCATCCTGCACTCGTACCACGCCTTCGCGAGGAACATCCTCCGGTTCGCCCGACTACCGGAAAAGTCGGACGTCATGCTGTGGTACACCTCGCCCTATTGGCTCACCGCGGTCTACTTTGGCCTGCAGCTCATCCTCCTGGAAGCGAAACTCCTCCACGCCACCTTCGAGCCCACGGAGACTCGCCAGATCGTCGAGAGGCACAAAGTCGCAATTGCACTCACACACTGATCCGAAACAATTGACACTTGACATTGTTTATGGGAATAAAGGCTCGTTGTTGCTGTGTCTGCCGGTGTCGTGGCTTTTCCTGACGACGGACCTGATAAACGTGCTCAACAAATCGGGCGTCCTCGAGCGCCACTGTCCAGCCTCGTTGAGGATCGTCCAGACCGGCGGCTCGAAGATCAGTCGCGAGGTCTTCGAGGCCTTCCAGAGCCGCCTGCCCGGTGTCCTCGTCCTCCAAGGCTACGGTAATATATTTATACATCTACGCGCTCTTTGACATATGCGGGGTGGTGGTTCTTCTTGAGTCGTAGTCGAGTGTTGCGAAGAAGAAGAAATGCATCAAAAAGAACTGTTTGCAAAAGGGATGTGCGAGCTGGGAGGCACGGCGACGATGCAGAACGAGGGTCGGAAGCGGGTCGACTCGGCCGGCTTCGTGATTGAGCACGTACAGGTGAAGATCGTTGATTTGGCGACGGGTCGGGTCCTCGGGGCTAACCAGGCCGGGGAGTTGCTCTGCAAGTCGCCGACGATGATGCTCGGTTACTACGGGGACGGCAAAGCTACCGAGGAGGCGATCGATGACGAGGGTGAGTTTTTTTTTTTTTCTTATGTCTCCTTTTGATCCAACGAGTGCAGTACTCGCTGGTTTGTTGTTAGTTATCTTTGGATCCGCTTTAACGTAGGCGCCGTTTGTCTTGTGTGTATATTATAACAGCGAGTGTTGGTAATAGCTATACTGGAAGCGAGTAAATTTTGCACGATGAAAATAATTTGTCGTTAATGGCAAAAGGTTGGCTACGCTCGGGCGACAAGGGTTACTACGACGGGGACGGCGAGGTGTTTATCGTCGAAAGATTGAAGCAGGTAATGAAGTTTCGGGCTTATCACGTTTCTCCAACGGAGATCGAGGAAGCTCTGCTGAGCCATCCGGCTGTTGTGGAGGTGGCCGTGGTGCCGTTGCCCCACGAATTGGACGGCGAGCGACCTATGGCCTTCGTGGCCAAAGCACCCGGTAGCGAGGTACGGTGTACATAACGCGATAAGCATGTCGATGTGTGACATGTATGGGACGAGGTCGGTTTTTTTTTGCTTCCTCCCCTTATAGTCTGCAGTTAAGTTGCAATTTTTTTCTAAATATATAGCTCAAGTATCAAGTTCTAAACAAAATAATTAATTTCTGTCTCGTGATTTTTAAGTTTATTTGAAGAAAAAAAAACATCCTCCAGCCAAATTTTGAACTTTCTTCAGTTACTCGTAGGCTTGATGAATTTTCACTTGATAACAATAACACAGTCAACAGCACTAAAGATACTGTGTCGAATAAGCTGTTTTATGCGAAATGTTTGCCATATTTTCTAATTTTGTAACATTCTGCTTTTTGCGCGAATTATTTTTTGTAATACTAGATATCGTTAACTAATATAACCGGACTTTGTATCAACGTTAAAAATGTGTATTTTGTATGTACAGTAATAGATCTCAATGATTGCAGGTGACGGAGGAAGAGTTGGTTGACTTGAGCGCCACACTCGGGGAGTACAAGAAACTTTGGGGGGGGAGTGAAATTTTTGAAGGAACTGTCCCACACGCCGTCCGGAAAAATCGCCAGGGCGGAACTGATGGAAATGGCCAAGAGCTTGGCCGGAAAGTGATATCAGCTCTTGAGTCTGCATATGTTTTGAATACCTTTTTTTGTTGTTTATGTACGTGCATCTCGAATGGAAATACATATCGATGCGAAGGGCTGCGCACTCTAAAGTCTCGATAAAACGCCCCAAATATTTTCAAGTTTTTTTGCAGCCATTAAAAGACTTCGGGAGACTCCAATCAAGACTTGGATGACTTTGAAATCTTTCAGTAGACTTTCGAGGTCTTTCGTGAACTTTTTGCGGTTCTTATAAAGACTTTATGGGGCATTACATGACTTTGAAGTCTTTTTGAGACTATTGCAGTCTTTTAAAGAGTGATGAAAAATTCTAGATGACTTTGAATCTTTCGGAGACCATAAAAGTCTTCACGTAACCTTAAATGACTTTTTCCGCCCTTGGGTGGTTTTGGGAGGCTGGTACTTCCTCGGGCGAAAAAGCAGTTTTCCGGAACTCGTTCGAAAAGTCTCCTTTACGAACCTCGTTACGTCCCTCGCCTTCGGCTCGGGCCGCAAATCTCTTGGTTCGCAAACAGAGACTTTTCAAATTCGTAGGAAAACTACTATTCCCACCTTTTTTTCAATGACTTGAAAAGTACGTAACCCCTCGTATCGATGACACAAAGTACCATTTGCAACTCAGTTTTCCTTCCTGACAAGCATCCCGTTAATTTAAAGTACACGAATGGGCTCGCGTATAGCCAGTACTGATAACAGCAAAAGCGCGAGTTTTTCGTTCAAATACTAGCCAAGATATGGCAGAAGCCATCAGCACGATTGGGCGTCCATGTAGGTTTTTCGAGGGCACCTATAAAATTATTGATGGAAAAATACGTCCCCCGATCTCCGCCAGCGCTGACATAAGAAACGCCCCCCCCCCCCCGCACACGCACAAACAGAGTATATCTCTTACATTATTTCGTCTGGCAGTCGTCCCGGTGACGCGCAAACTCTGCCGGGACTTCAATCCCGCAGATTCGCCATTAATGGAAATGCCCTCGATATAAACCACCCCCTGTCGCTTCACATAGCGACGGCAGGGGGAAAAAAAAAATTGGCGACGACGAGCAGTCGATCCCGAAAAATTCAGCGGCCACTTTCGACTATTGGTCAAAAACAACAACAGCGGCGTTTCAATGAGGCCGTCATTTGGATTTTCGCGCAAATAACGGCGCCGTGAATACAGTCCCAGGGTGCTTTTAAGAGGCCGCGTAGCCGATAAATTCGAAGCGAGAGCGCCAGGGCATCGCGTATAAAAACACGTGGGTACATGGACGTACGCACAGAGGGAGAGTAAAAAAAAAAAAAAAAAAAGAAAACTTGGTATCAACACAAATCTACATCGGCGTCCAATTACCGTTGGCGCGCGTCCAAGAAACGGGGGATGCGAAAAATAAATGCGTGCACTCCGCGTGACGCCGGGCGTTTGGAAGTGGAAAAAAAAAAAGAATGGGGGAAGGAGAGAGATTTGTTGCGCATTCGGGAGCTCGATTCTGGTTTTTTATCGCGGTAAATTGGTATCATTGCAAATCAAAGGATGGATACAGCGCAAACATTCATAGACAAGGTTTATTGCGCTTGAGGTGGACGATAACTGATTTTTCCAGAGCTCCGACGCCTTTATTCGTCAACTCGGTTATACCTGGCACAGTTCCCGTTTCGTCCCCCTCTCCCCTTCGAAAGATTCCTCCAATAAAGGTAATGAAAGGAAATAAAAATAAAAAGTGCACCTGGATAATATGAAAATTAAATTTTCGCTCGGAGGCAAATTAATGTAACGACGAATAAAAAAAAACAACTCTTGGGGAGGGAAAAAAAGGCCCGCCTCCTCATTCGAAATCCCAAACCACGGAAAAATATGCGTCTGACCCTTGGTGAAAACACAGTCGAGCGTCCCGATTTGAGTTTCTTCACTTTAAGCGTAAAAACTACCAAAATCCTAAGAGGGCAGTCAAAGTATTCATTGAAAATACGCGCTATTTCTACTATCCGGGCACCCTTGCAGCTTAACTTGGCCAAAAAATATGTCGGGATGAAGGTACTCACTCTTGAGCGCCTCGTCGAGACCCTTGAGCCGGCCAATGACCGCGGCCAGCTGCATCTTGCTAGCGACGGACTGGTTCTCCTTTTGCTCGCTGAGCACGCGGTTGATTTTGCGCTCGGCTTCGCGATCCTTGGCCTCCAGCGCCTCTCGCAAGTGGTCCGCGTGCACCTGCGCTTGGAGCTTCAACTGCTTGCGCATCTCGTCGTCCAGCTGCTTGCGGATTTCCAGCATCTGAAACGAGAGGGGGGAAAAAAAAATCGAGAGTCAAAAATACGACTTGTCCTCCTGAATGGCAAAAACCTCCGTCCAAAGGGGGAGGGTATTTGCGCGAAACTCCAAATTGCGAAGGGTAAACGCTTCGAGTCGCTGCAGCTGTTGCCAGATATACCGTACAATGGGATAAAAGCTCTCGTTGGGCCAAGTGTGTTTTTAGAAATTCAAATGCTTCCCGTGACTCCGCGAGCCGAGGGACAAGTATTATCTCTCTATCTCCCTTACGTTCACGAGCGGATGCGATTTTAGAGTGCCTCTACCGGCATCGTTGGAGGAGATACTGTTGTATAAATTATACGTTTGAAATTAGCCTCCGGGTCTCAAGAGTGCACATACTTGTGATTTTCAGAAGGTAAGTAGAATGACGTTGTGTAATAAACTGTTGATGGAATTCCGAAATTTCGGGCAAGTCGAGAGTAGAGTAATCGTGCCATTTCTCAGCGCAGATGCGGCGAAAAAAAAAAAAAGAAAAAAGGGGGGAAACAAATGGACAGCAAACAATGATCGAAAGCGACATTTCATGGAGGACTAGGCGGGAGACGAGCTCACCCCAGGGGAAAAAAGTTGGCCTAATTGTCAAGTGACCCAGCGCCGCGTTATGCGGCTCTCTTTCGCTGTGTGCACGTTTGTCCGTCCGCCACGTCGTCCCGTCCTCTTAATGCAGAGGCATACAGCGAGCCAACCACAACCTGAGGGGCAACCCTGTTGTACAGGATTGGGGTGACGTTTTTTCACGCGTTCACGCGGCAAATTTACAGTAAACTTATTTTTACCATTTAATTGATGGACAGACATTTTTAACTGTGCAAACAACAAAAAATATTATACAAGTGGTTAAAGAATCTGTAAACAACCAAGTTGTACCGGTAATTATACCATTGTAGCTCGGTATTTTTTTGTTACTTTTTATCTTAGTGTGCGCATAACTGTATAAAGGTATACGCGGGGCTTCAAGAAGAAACACTTGAAAATGCGGAATTAAATTTCGAGCTCGAGAAGTTAATGCCGATAGCAGGTTGTACCATCATCCGCACAAAGTAAAAGCCGAGTTTGCACAGCTACCGGAGCTTATACGCGCAACTTCCTACAATCCACTTGCAAACGTAGAGTGAGAGAGCTTTTGCGCGATGTGTTTCAATTTGGGCGGCGATTAACGGAGCTTCGGAATTTTTTAGCCATCGATCAAACTGGTGTTATGATTATTTAATTATTTAATGGCGAATTGGATGCATCAATCGTCGGTCCGGTTACCTTGGCAGAGCCCGAAAGGGCACAAGAGAGAGTTCGGGGGAACATTGAGTTCCCAAATGGACCACCGACAAACTTTGCTCTTTGCCCCCCGACAGGCAAACCCGACCCTCTCTCTGCACTGTATACTCCACCTTCCAAGTTTCAATAAAAAGTACATGTACGTAGTGCAGGTGCGACTCGCAAAGACTGGGTGCACTCAACGAGCTAATAAAGCCGGAGGAAACAGAAAAAAAAAAAAGCTCGACAAGGCTACAGACTCCTCGACCGGGGTGTTAACCGAAAGCTACAATTGAATTTCACCTAATCGGTATTGTAAAAGACACAACAACGCGATAATTTATTACTCATCAACCCTCCACCCTGTGAAAACATTTTCATTTTCGACTCGTTAACTTTTAGCGAGCGCTATGATGACCTCCTTTCCCACGTTTATGCCAACAATATACTCGTAGGGAGGAACGAACAACGCCGTTTTAATAACCCGCATCGCTCGCGATAATCATAATCATAACAATAATAATTTCCTTTACCCGCGCCGGCGCTGATATACATTTGGCCGCGGGTATGCTAATTTTTTGGGGGGGGGGGGTAATCGCGGACCTTCGAGTTCATTTTACGCGGCTTATCTCGGGTTAGCATCCGTTTTTTTTTTTTTTTAAATATATAATACGGGAAGGTTTTATCTCTACGGCCAAAAAGGTGATTTTTGGTATCGCGTTTTTCGCCTCGTTGGGGCTCAACGGCGCGCGTAACTTTACCATATACATCGAATCATCATTGCATCCCGGAGGGGGTACGGGACAAACGTTTATAGGATAAAAGTGATTGTAGGTATACGTGTATACAATCGTACAATCGACTTACGTAACGTACAGTACAGATGCTCCAAAAGGATGCAACGCCTCGGTAGAGGTCCGAGGAGGGAAATCGATTTACCTTTATACCACTGATCTCGTTTATCCACTCCCACTTCGCAACTTCGCTCCAATTCTCGCCCTTTGTCTACATACAGGCGCTTTTGTTTAGTCGCGGGTTGCGCAATGTTTTCGTATTGCGGTTGAAAATAATCACGAGTGTACTTATATCGGTTAGATCGAGCGGGGGCTTCCCGCGCAGTCGGCACTTTTTTTTCATCGAGAACGTGTAATGCGAGAATTTACAGGGTGTCATTTAACACCGGAGCATACGTGCGTACGAAAATTATTCACTGCGCGTTAACGCCGGTAAAATGTAAATATTGGCCCAATTGTCGGGGGAAATATTTATTTCGCGCAAACGAGCTCGCCTGGGATTTTCCAGGGAAGGGGGGGGGAGGATTTTATCAAGAAGGTTCGCGGCGACGTTTGGTTAATCGCGCGGGGGTTAAATTTACCCGGACCGAATTTTCGGCGAGAGGTGTCGTATATATACTGCACGTGCATAATTTTTCATCGGCCGCGTTCTGGGCTAATCGGATTTATCTCCCTTTCGCGCAAATAACGCCGTTACTTTCCGAAAATTACCGCGCGCCCGGTATTAACAAGCGGTAAAAAAATTACAAGTGCTATTAGTTGTAATTGCTGTTTTTCATGAGATACGCGGGAGTACCATTAGTATACGTGCTTTTTAAATCGACCAAGTTATTGTATACCATGACCAATTACTTTTTTTTGCTTGTATGAAACACAAAACATTTTCATCGCAGGTTTAATACAACTGCGTTATCTTATACGTGATGAATGTTTGTGTTGAATATATTTTGCAAAAACTTCAGCATTGCATGTGAATATACTGCACAGTAGCAAAATTCAGATTTTTCACTTGTCTATATACAGAAATGTAATCGTATCAAATAGTTTGCGCTGTAATTAGGTGAAAGCAAGAAAAGCCGATAGCTATATAATTGAATCGAAACGCTTATGAAAACACGCGTGCCGTGCATACCCAATACCGTCGATGAAAGGAAAAAAAAAAATCTAGTTAACGGAGCAAACGAGAACAAAAGCGCTAATAGCATTATAGTACCTACCAAACGAACGAGGGTATGTACATATACATACACAAGCCGAGTTTTTCAAGCTGTTGCCCGGATTCCCTTGTTAAGTCGGCCTCGCGGAAAAAAAAATACAATAAACGCGTTGCCCTTTTACAAGCGAACGCAAAACTCCCCTTTCTCTCTCTCCACTGGTTTGCCAAAGTTTTAATTAGCAAAGTGACATCTCAAACGCCACGCGTCGATGCCTACCTTATACGCTCATTCAGTCGCGAGTTTTCTTAATTAAATGGACGCGAGATCTCTCCTCGACTCTTTTGGCAATAAATTGTCAACATCCTCTTTGAGACTATAAAGGTACTTTTCCCCTCGGATATTCTTGCGACTCTATATTCATGCCTTGCCCAGCACAAAGGTGTCCTCCGCCTTCCCCGGGGGAGTGTATGTAATATAAGATTTCTGAATGCACGCGAAAAACGCAAGGAAGCTGCGCTACGTTATTTATGAAAATGAAAAGGATGAGGAAAAGAAAAAAAAAAAAAAAAAAAAAAAAAAAAAGGAATTGCGACCCACTTGCTCGCGGGAAAAAAGTGCGATACCGCATGCAGGATATTACAAGGAGCGTGGATTTGCGTTGTTTAGTACAGAAGTATAAATTGAGAATTTTTTTTTGTCCATTTTCGCTCGGCAAATCTCGTTTGTGTATTTATTCGTTCGCAAGTAATCCAATTTACGAGCAAATACAAAAAGAAACCCGCGGGCAGGTGCAGCTGATATTTTATTAGGGAAAACTCCGAAAAATAAGTTGAAACGCGGGTGAGTGAAAAAATATACCAGACGGCGTTGGAAAGAAATTTACGAGCGCGAAGTGTGTATCCGTATGGGTGGCACCTCTTCTCGTACATTTTTTTTTTTTTTTTCCAGAGCGTCGTCACTGGGTATAATGTAATACAGTCCGAGAGCCTCGCGTGTAAGGAAAAGGTAAGACACGCGGGAGTTTCCGTGATCAAATTTTTTTGAGATTTTTCACGCTGAGCGAGAATATTTCCATGCGTCAATGGGAGTCAATGTTATTCACACGATCAACACAGAGAGCCAAATTTGCACACGAAAATGCATTACATGTTTGTAAAATCGCAACCAACGATTATTGCACAATTTCACATGTGCTTGACATCACACAAGCACCGAACGAGGACGAGTGGGTGGAAGAAAAAAAAAAAAATCTTCACCCCCGAAAGATAAATCGAGGCGGCTCGAAAAAGTCTCGAGTGTGTGAGAGCGTATATATTACAGTAGTTCTACTTTCTTCGCTGCATATATGCATGTTGTACATTGCGCTTCCTCTTCTCCTCCCTCGTGCTTGAACGCGCGGCGAGACGTGTGCTCATTTATGCGCAAAAAGACGAGAGGAGCTTCTCCGGGGACTCTTATTCTCGCGCCGTTTGACGCGACGAAGCTGGGGAATGACGCTGTTGTAACGTATGTTCGCCAAAGAGTGAAAGTGATAGGGAGGACCCGACAGCTTTTGCTCGGGTATATGAAGGATGTCACGGGACACGTGCTGCGAGTAAGTGGTTCGTGTATGCACGAAGTCGGGAGTGCGAGATTTTTTTTCCCTCGTTTTAATGCTATGCTAACGGGAAACAGAATATTTTTTTTTTGCTCTACAATATCTTGCAGCTCCGTGGAGTTGTGTCATATTAAATATTCACTTTTTTTTTGGTACTTTTGCAAATTGCACGATAGCAATTTCGGAATATAATAAATGTAGGTCAATACGGCATGGGAAGGGAGGATCGACTGCGACGTTTAAAGTTAGCCGTGTACTCAAAGTTTTTACCAGAACTTTACCGTCAAAAAACAAAAACACGTCCGGAGAGGTTATCGCTGGTGAACTGCCACAAATCACGTCAAAAGTGGAGCGATCACAATGAGAGTGGAAAAAAAACGTTAGAGGTAAAGTGGAAAAGGACGGAAGCTACCCTAGGACGTTCGAGTCTTCGAGATTTGTCGAAAGGCCCTCTCGTTCATTGTTTGTTGTCCTCTGCGGCGACAAAAGAAAGTAGCCCGGCTGGATCGCCACCTTGGGCTTACCTTGTCGATTTTTGCTAGAGAAAAGCTTGCTACTCGATAAGAGTAGAAGAAAAAAAAAAAAAACAAGCCAGAAAAGTATCTTTTGCAGTGGAGAGAAAAAAAGAGAGAGACGACGAAACGCGAGCGTAGAGGAAAAACGTAGCGGGGCTAAAGAGATAATACGCGGGAAATATTGGCATGGCTCCAAATGGAAATAGATAAAAAATCAGGGCTCCCTTCGTGTGTACCTAGACCATCGAGCCCTTCTCTTTTGATACTTGAAAACTTGTACAGTAGAATTTTTCGAGCTGTAAAGCTTTATCTGAACATCACGCTCACTTTTTATGTATTGGCATTGATTATTTAGCTGAGGATTGAGATGTTTTGCATCCCCGAGTCCTGCTTTGCAAACTTTGAGATTTCTTTTTCGTAATATAATAAATGAAATACCGTTTTTCCATTAGCTCATTGAATACTGAAAGCAAAATTAGCTTTGACCAACCTTTTTGTTGAAATCTTCTTGGAACGCTATTTTCTCTTTGGAAACCTCGAGGGCTATAGCTTCGTGGATTTTTTCCTGATCACCCTCCGATCTTAAGGCGGATTTTATTTTGGCATCAGCAATAGTCTGAAAATTAAAAAAAAAAAAATAAATAAACAAATAAATTAATATGACATCCATACACATGAGGGCCAAACAGTACCCAAGTCTCGGAAGTTTTTGTGATATTCTTTGAAGAAATCAAATATTCACCTGCATTTTCTCCAACTCTTTCTGTAAGAATGCTACTTTATGGTACATATGGAGAACAAATAGATCAAAGGCCTCATCCGACACTGTCAGCTTTTTGTCGTTGATATTGATGTTGGGGAAAAGGATGTGTAGCTCCTCGTTGAACTTTTCTCGCGCTATTTTCAAGCTCTTCCAGTACTTTTCAGAAATATTTGCATTGGCTACCTCTTGGTCAAACTTTTTTTTGGCAGCGTCCACATCCGATAAGATTTTATTGATGTTCCGCCTCGCTATTGTTTTCTGACCAACGGACGCGTCGCGTGCGTCGTCGATCGAGCTACCCAACTTTTTCAAGGCCTCAACGGCTTCATCCGCCTTCTTCTCGGCTACTGCCAGGGCTGCTGTTCTCTTGTCTTGGGCTGACTTTAATCTAATGGAAAATAATTATTTACTTTAGCCTGAGAAAGCTTCAGATATGTATCTAATATATCAAAGATACAAACCTGTCCCAAATTTTGGATCCCAACTCGGCGTCAGAACTTTCTACAACGTTCGTCACATCCTTGTTGTAATCTTGAACAGCACATGCCGCATCGTGGAAAGATTTGATAGCAGTAGCAGCAAGCTCTCCGGCATACTTTTCCAATTCGGTCAAATCAGATGCTATCGAGTTTTGTTGCTCCGAGGGCTTCTCTACTACTGTATCTACGGGTTTTTTCTCTGAAACTAGATGGAAATTAATAGTTTGAATATTATTGAGAATTTCAAGGCAAACAGTTAATAAAAAAGCATGATTGTTTTGAACGTACCAACTTCAATTTTTTCTCCTCTATCTTTACTTAACCGAATTTCTGGTGGTGGTTTAAGTGGAGGAGGTTGCAATATTGGTGCTGCAAAACCTGGTTTGGGAGCTAAACACACACATAAATGCCACGGGTCAGCCGTTATTGTTAGTGAAAACTTTTAATTACAGTCAAGTAGTTGTAAATTTGTAAAAATTAATTTAACTATTAGAAAAGACTTTTATGAACATCAACACTCTTCAACGTTTTATGTAGTATTATCAAAAAGTTTTTTTAAACATCAAAGTGGAATTGTTAGAGATTTAGTTAACTTGGATAAAATAAACATTAATAAATTGGTAAAGATAAAAGGAAAGGAAAATGGATAAGGATAATGGCTCACGTTTATACTCTTTAATGTTAAAACAATCTACTGTTTTTTTAAATTGACCTTCTTTTGAGCTGGAACCTCCAAATATGAATGCCAAAATTCTAAAATATTGAGCAAATGTGAGCTTAAGAAAACAAAACAATAGAATATCGTAAAATATTTTTATACTCACTTTTGTTTTAATGAAGTAAAGAAATTGAGTAACATTTCGAAATACGATGCCTCTTCTTGAAAAATGATTTTGATGGCATTATCTGTTCCTGGAACCCAATTTTCAAGTGTTTCTCTAAAGTTGGAGTCATTATGAGCATATGCCAGTATCCCAAATGCTCCAATAGCAACAGTTCCAAATGCTACGAGGGTTCCGGCACTTCCTCGTGATCGTCCACTGAAAGATACATTGTGCTATTAGTTTGCTAAATTGTATGAAAAGTTTTTTTAATAATGTTCCATTCATCCAAGGACCAAGGAAATGGTCAAGATATTGAATTACTAGTACATCAAGGAGTGTCGCACATGGAATAACGAGTACTGGACCATTTGGACTGCTTTGACAGGAAAATACGATTCAAGGGATAAACAGACTATAACCTATAATAAATAGCTTTTATTCCCTACCTTTTTTCATCAGAGTAATATCTATGTCCTGATAATCTAGATGTAAATGCAACATCGTTGAGCAGCCTAGAAACACACCTCCTTGATTACTATAATTTTTAAAACGTACTGCAAAAAATGCTTATTCACTTTTATTTATGATTAACATTCAAATCGACAAATAGCATTGCTGTAACATAAAATTTTCACTCAGAACTTAAACAAAAAAACATAACCTGCTCCTACATAAAAAAACAAAGATTCAAGTGACAGTTCTTGATAGAAAATCACTACAACACTATTAAAAATTTCAACAAAAGTTCACAGAACATCCATACAGTTCAGTCTATTGTCCCCACTAGCAATTAGAGGCACAATTTCAAGAAAAATCACTGCACTGACAGCTGACACCTGATACAGCACAACAGCCCGCGGATGACGATGACCAAAGCTTACCTGTCATTGCACCTGGCTTTTGATCGCGTCTCGTAGCACCTGGCAGTTAGATAAATCCTTTCGTAGCCGTGTTTTTTGATCTGCAAGCAAACGCAGAAAAAAATCACATGAGTCGTGAACTTTCACGGCTTATAATAAGAAAATGACAACACACAACAACAGTGTCGAAATTATGTAAGCTATCTTGACACGCGACACACACATATATCCACGGTGCAGCCTTAGCGGGTCAAACAATCAATGACAACCGTATAGCATCTCCCGAGCTCTGCTTTTTAACTCATGAACTCGACAACAAAGCCACAACGAGCCTGAATGGGCTTAATTTAGCACCGGAAACTCGGCGAAAACATCACACGCGTCCGACGCCCGTCTCGATAGACCAAGTACACCACGTCCTGGCAAGCCCCAGCTCATCGAGGCACAGATTCCTGGGCACAACTTACCCGATTGAGGTTGAGGCCGTTAACGGGGAATTTCAGTCCAACGCGGTACATCTTTAACAGTGACGAGGAGGATGACGACGACGACGTCGGCCGGTGCTGCTTGAGGTGGTCGCCTCTGATCTTCGGTGGCGGCTGCTGTCCTCGATAAGGTTAGTTAGAGTATTTAATATATTGCGTTGTGTGTGTATGCATATAGATATACTTGTACGCGCTACGGCAAGGAAGGAACGTTCGGGTTCGAGTGGAGAAAAAATAAAAACAGCTGTGATCAATTTAGATTGTCTGCTTCGCTGCGTAAGCGTTGACACCGCGGTCAGTGATGCTGCGGATATTCGGTAACGCGCTCAGAGGTAATTTTTGATAGTTTTTGTGGTGATGCAGTGTTTGTGCTTTTTGAGGACGTGAAGCGTTATATTTCGTAACGACCCAGGGGTAGACTTGACGATTTCAATGAGGGTTTCTTGAAGATGTTTTGTAAAGGTGTAGGGGTTAGGTTGACAGAGGAAAATGGTTCGCGGTCCGCGAGAGTTCGGTGTGTGCTCGCTTGGCGCGACTTTTAAATGCCACATTGGGAAGGTTGGAGTATCCCCGGTATACTGACAATATATGTCTTGGCTTTCAATTATAACAATAGGGAATTGAAGTTGAAAATGATAAAACAAATGAGAGTATGCACATCATGAATATGTATTTTTATTTGTTTCAATTACTTTTTAGATGGCGCAAAGAGAGTGGCTGCTGTAGCTTCCTTACCTCTTACTGCTTCCAGTGAAGTTGGGCTTATTTCAAGACAGTCCAGGTATCTCGGTTCATTTACAAAACAACTACAGTTGTCAAATAATTTTTTAGGAAATAGTCTGAGTACTAGTCTACTTAGGTACGCATTTAAGATTTGTCTTACTATATTTTGTTCGTGTATTCATATCTCATGAATAACGAATTTTTTTAGTGAGCAAATAAGCCAGCCAGTGCTTACTAGTGTCAGGCATGGTTCTGGCATAAAAAAACAGAGACTCATTATTCCCCCTAAAAATAAATGTGTCTACTTTTCTCTGAAAAATGGCAAAAGGATAACTAACAAGGATGTTGTCAAGCGGTTTTATAGATTAAACTGGTAAGTTCACTTTATTGTATAACTTATATATAAACACTTAACCTTTGAAACGGTAGAGAAAAAATTTCTGAACACATAAATATTTACAGGGGAATATGGATTAGAACAATCGCCGGTCGTCATAAGCATCTGTGGAGAAAATCTCCTAGCAGGAGACAGAGATCAAAGTGGCACGTCTTTACCAACTCCACGCAGTCTTTTATGTTGGATAAAATGGTCACAAAATTCTGGAAGCGCCCCAAATACTATGTCGACGATCCTTACGAACCTTATCACACGCGCAATGAGTTTTCCCTTACTAGGAAAGTTCCAAGGCCATTAGATTAGTTACTTTTAAAAATATTTTGTTCATTTAGAGTTAACACAATTAAATAAATTATATTTGTTTTGTATTAAGCAATGCCCATCTCATTTTTTAAATCGTACATACAAACAAGATTACAATTTAGTGTGTTTCAACAAATTTCGACAAGAGAGTAACTAAACAATGTTTTTATCTTCTAAATACGATAAGAAATTGAGCGTCATTTTGTAATTGTTATTTTTTATTCGTAATTGTTATTAAAAATAATTTTGATGCCTTCTGTAAAGATAAGGTATTTTTTATTTTTTTAAATAATACTCATCATTTAAGATTCTCTTACAATTGGATTATCATCCACAAGGTCAAGCAAAAAATTTAATTGAAGCTGTCTGCAATATGTTTTTGATTATAATTGTAGAAGATCGAAAAAACTAATTGATTTGCACATTTTTTATTTAAAAAGAGAACAATTATATGTGTATTGTAATAGCTGTCGAATCAGCAGTTTCTTATATCGGAATCAAATAATACTGATATTCATTTATTCACAGTCTTCTATAAAGCAGATTCCTCACATATTATTTACTCGATATTTAATAAAAAATCAAACCATTGATCAATTGGGAACTGATCTGTAAGTAAAAATATATAAATTGTTAGAATTTAATGGACTCTTCCATTATATTTTCAGCTCACGTCGTCAATGAACATTTCCCTTAAGAACCTCATGAATACCAGGTACCGTTTTATCAAGTACTTCAACTTTTTTCATAGGCTTTCTCATTCGTGTAATGTAAAATTTAATTAAACTAATTACGTATTGGCAATTCTTTTGTAATGATGTATAAATGTTGGATAATTATTTAAATACAATAATATTATTGTGTGATGACACGACACGTGTTCTTTTATCAAGATGCAAAACTAAACAAAAGATATCTATTCAAATTAATGTGAAAATACACATTGTGGAATAAGTTACACGTTTTAAAAAAGAAAAAAAAGTGACTGTAACCATATAATTTGATATTAGTACATACATGACATGTATTAATATTTTACGATGTTACGATTTAATTCAAAGTTTGATGCTGAATAATGATATAAACGTTTTTTTTTAATAAAATCTTCCAGTTTTTTTTTTTTTTTTTGCAAAATTATTATATTTATGTTATTACTTTGTGTATGTATTAAAAAACAATCATTCAAAAATTTTAAGACTTTATTAAAAATCTTTTCTGATGTATGAGCATATTAAATAATTACGATTGTTTATTCAATAGCCGTTTTTTAATTACGTATACAAAAAAAGAATATGTTGGAGACAAAAGGATTTTTCAAGAGAAAACAAAATAATGAGAAAATAAGTATATGAAAGGCTGTTCAAACTAATTATAACTGAAAAAAAAAATTTTTTATCGTAAATGGACAGATTATAGTACGTAAGTTGATTAATGTTGGAAAATTATATCAAGTTAAAGCAGTGAACGCATGTTTTTCTTGATTTCCCATAATTTTCACCCTTTGTAAGAAAAAATGAAAAAAAGAGAGGAATTGAGAGAAACGCAAATAATAAGGTGGGACACTGGTTTTTAACAGAAATGTTTAAAATAAAAACAAAAAATATGTACGCACCAGCAAGTCATTCACCACGTCCTACTTACCTCACTTACCTGTATAGGTACGGATTGGTGAGCTACTACAACGTAGCAAACTATTCAAACCGAGTCCGTCCACGTGGGTGACTGTAGACTTACGTCATGAGCCGGTGTGCACACATCTCTGACAACAACTAAAAATTTGGTCTATATATACTAACCAGAGACTTTTTCGCCACATGCGGGAGCGAATCGGAGAAACAGCGATCGGATCAAGGAATCGTTGGGAGAATTGAAAGTGGATGCATCCGGCGGAAAAACCGTTTTTCTAATCAACACCCAACTTTTTTTTTCGTTTTAACCCTTCGGTATTTCACAAACGACGATATTCATGAATTTTGGCGAATAGTGTTAACCGTATGCCGCCACGCGGTCGGAGATTCAGTTATACTATCATGTCAGCATTTACAATGCTGCTGTGTATTGTCCATCCGTTGTCGATAANGTAATATTTTCATGTTTTAATATTGATTTTTTTTGTTGACTGAAATTTTTTTTTCAACTCGTATTATATTACAAAAGACAATATAGTAGAGCAGTTGTGTAGAGTTAATCAAAAGGATTATAAAATTGTAAATTCAGAGATTTTTTAAGGAATAAATGTCGTTATGTATTTACAATCGTTATTAAAATTTTTTTGTGAAAAAATACTAAACGAATTAAAAACACAATAAAAAATGTACGTGATAACTCCTTTAAGAAACAAAAACTGCTATCTTCATCAACACGGATTAATATTTTTCGACTCTTTTTTACAATCAGCATAGTAACAACAAAAACTAAAACAAAAAGTGTGCAGTATAAAAATAAACTTTACTTCAAACTGACGACACTCATTTTTAGTCAAATCTATGTAGTGAGAAAAATAAACAGTAGAAGATGTAGATTGAAGCATCAGTTAGAAAAAAGGAAAGAGTTATTGATGTTGCATGTTTTTCGCATAAAACACACATTATAACACCATGCACCAAAAAAGTTGTAAAAAAAAGAAATAAAAAGTTCTTAGTCCATAGCAATACCACAAACACACGTACACAGCCAAAACGTAACCTTCTGAATGATGTATGGATTGAAAACTTTAATATTACTGCAGTGGGTCTGACGTAATTGACTTCCTATTTTTTTTTTTTTTTTTCATAACACTATATTTGAAAAAACCTTGAAAAAAATATCTTTTTTTTTTTAATAATAATTTTTCTTAAAAAGAAAAAAACCCATAATCTGCCTCATACGGCAATAATCTCAAGTATATATTATACTGTATCCATGAAAATTTGAATTTACAAGATAAGCATCGATGCCCACACATGCACGTGTCTACCGTGTCATTAAACGTCATTATCCGCGTCTGCTCCGAAACTCTCAACTCCCAAAACACATACAATCTGGCAGGAAAGTTGATCCCCCGCCCAAAAAACTTGCACAGAAAAAAAAAAAAAAAAAAAAAAACCGTATCCGTCGCAGCATCTTTGCAAATATCCTTGAAATTTCAAAAAACTCACACCCATAAGTAAGTACCAGACGTAAAAACGGAACGTAAACTCGTGACGGATAAAAAAAACACCTCCCTTCTTTTTTCCCCCTACTTATACCGCCTCTATCCAAAACGCGTGAGTAAGACAGCCGAAAAGAACGAGCCGCAAGAAAAGAGGAGAGAAAAGACACGGCAGAAGAGAGAGAGAGAGAGAGAGAGAGAGTTTTACTATAATTATACTCGCACAGTATACGCAACACCACACCGGGCCTAGTCTGCCCCCGTCCTTCGCGGCGTGCGTTTGATTTCTCTAGCTCTTGCCCCAAAATTCTTACAATACCAGGGCTGTATCTATTGTTTTCAAACGTAATTGCGCCAAGGGTGATTCACTCGGGTGTACTCGCTCTTGCCACTTTTCTCGCATCGGCCGATACTAGTTGCGTAATAAGTATACAAACAGACAGACGCTCATAGTGCAGATAAGATATAGATAAGATAGAACGGGAAAAAAAAAATTTTTTTTAAATAATAATAATAATAAATAAAAGATACGAGCCAACGCAATGCCGCTGCACGCAAAGCTCCGGCAGTTGGTTAATTTAGCCGACAAGAGCACGAGCTGGATCTCTGGGCTAAGCACCGGCAACCGAAATCATTTCTCAACCACTGGTACCGCCAACATGAGGTTCGTGACGCCAGTTATTACGTATTTGTGTTTTATACGATTTTTTTTTTTTTTTCCATCCATTTGTCCGTGCGTGTGGTGTACGATATTCGTGGGTTGTACGTGTATTCAACTTTGGCTCTCGATTATTGACCGGACGAGGGCTGGTCGGATGCTCGACCTCGTGCTGCTTCGTGCGGTCTTTTATTTTACTCATTTTACTTTTTTTCCCAACTTGCCATTATTTATTACAGCAACTGTACCGTAATGTGGGATGAAAAACATGGGCTTATACTGAAAAGGTTGCTAAGATTTGGAGATTTTATTTTTTTAAAGTAAATTTATAGGTACGATTACAAATGTATCCCTTATCTTTCGAGAGATTGTACATAATTGTGTGTATTGGACGTGATTAATTTTTAGGGGAGAGGGGGGGGGGTAAAAATTGTGTTTGGTTTCTAAAGCAGACGGTTTCCATTCATATGTGCGTAGAAGGAAAAATTGATTTTGGGAGCGCCGTCGGTAACGGAGAAATCGTCACCTGATGTACAAGACTCTCCGAAGCTGTTGCATTTTTACTATTAATAGTCAGTATTCAAAGTATTTTTAATCGAACAGGCGTTTTAGCGATGAATTTTTTATTGCCCAGGGTGAGTTTTGTGAAAATTATTGTACTTCGCTTGGATTGGATTGTTTAAGGATGAAAAAAAAATTTGTTTTCCTTGTTATAGGCTCAACAATTTTTTTACAAATTTTCATTACGAATCTAAGAAATTACAAAATAGATAATATTCCAGTCCTCAAAGTTACTGAAAAAGCTTTTAATTCATGTTTGTTTTTTTTATCGTAATTCTGATAAGATAATCATTTGTATTGTATCAACCACAGCACTTATCATTTTACCGTTGTCACAGACATTAAATTTTATGTTATCAAACACTGCAACTAATGGCTTTTGATGGATGAAAAGCTCCGTAGTTTGACAAAAAATTGCCTCGTTTCTACTGTAAAAATTATTAAAACCACGACATGTGAGATTTTAAAAATATCATTAAAAATTATTATTATAAAGTAAGTTTTTTTCACGTGACCTAAAAGCCCAGATAAGGTATGCAATAGTAATTCATTGGCACTTTATTGACTTTAATAACGATAAAAAAAAAATTAATTTTTTATCTTGATTTTCATTCACATATAGTAAAAATAACCGTACTCTAAATCTTTTACGTAAACAGTAATGAATTCCACTGATTAATAAAGCCATAAGTTTATTGTTTTGCTTGTATCAATACTTCAATTATTGTCTTTCAAACTTTCCTTTCGAGCAGTACTGATAATAAAAAATTCGATTATTATTAATACAAGCTTTTTTTAACACATCGTTACACAAGTTGAAATAAATGTCCGTACTCGACATTTTAAGGTCATGTCTCAACAATGCAAAGAAGAAGAAGAATGTATTTAAATAGCCAATTTAAATGTTCAATATAATGTATGCGACAAAACACATTAAACTGAATGGGTATTAAATTAAGTTTTGTTTCATAACTATTTTTAGATAAAAACGTAATATTTTCATGTTTTAATATTGATTTTTTTTGTTGACTGAAATTTTTTTTTCAACTCGTATTATATTACAAAAGACAATATAGTAGAGCAGTTGTGTAGAGTTAATCAAAAGGATTATAAAATTGTAAATTCAGAGATTTTTTAAGGAATAAATGTCGTTATGTATTTACAATCGTTATTAAAATTTTTTTGTGAAAAAATACTAAACGAATTAAAAACACAATAAAAAATGTACGTGATAACTCCTTTAAGAAACAAAAACTGCTATCTTCATCAACACGGATTAATATTTTTCGACTCTTTTTTACAATCAGCATAGTAACAACAAAAACTAAAACAAAAAGTGTGCAGTATAAAAATAAACTTTACTTCAAACTGACGACACTCATTTTTAGTCAAATCTATTAGCATCTTTTACATCTGTTTATGAATATTACGAGATGATTCGGAAGGAATAATATTTGAAGGCTAAATACAGAAAATAAAGAGATAATCTTTAAAAAAAAAAACAGAGTAAAGAAATGGTCGTTTGCAGCTATGCATCAAATAGATAAAATAGAAATTAAAATAAATAAAATGTTTACTGGGTTATTTTTTAAATGTAAAATTATAAATCATTGGGTGTTCTGTACATTTATTACACACTGTTACAACGAGGAGTATATAATATATTCAGTCTTGAACTGACATTCAAATTTATCACATATGAATAAACGTTTGATGGCGATGGAAACAAAAAAAAACTTATCTAATAAGTCAGTCTTTGCTACAAATCAATAAAAAGTTAATGGCCACAATATGCCATATGTGAATTAGAACACACGGTAATCTTATTTGTCGCATTAAATAAGTTTATTTCAAGTGACGTTACATCGTACTTATAGGGTTGTATCACACCGATTTAAACGTATAAATTACATTTTATATTATTTTTACTAAAAAACTGATAAAAAATACTGATTCTTTTTTTTTTTTATCAACATTTAGACGCAGAAAAACCCCTTTAGTTACGTACACAATAGTCATCATAATTTTTTATTAAAATTTTGTTATAGTCGTAAATTAAAATCCGTTTTTCATTAAAACAAATGATCACATTTTGTGTTTTATTTATTTCTAAAAGCAAAACACGATTTTCTAGAAAAATTAACAACGGCAATGCAACAGCTTGTGATAAATATTAGTTGTTTCCAAACTCGTTTTATCTCTCCAAAGTTGTACACAATAACAGGCACATAAGTCGCATTACGATTGTTACGTGAACAAAATTGTTGTTACCTATGGAAAAAATCGTTCCATCCAATAATTTACCAAGAAAAATTATCATGAAATTTCACGATTCACGGCAGATGAAAGGCCAGTATTAGTGAGTCTTTGTGTGTAATTAAAAGATTTTTTCATCGATTCCGCGTGACCATCCATTTCCTCTCGATCGACTTGTAATTGTCAAGGCAACCGTTTACCGGCCATCCGTCACGCATCGTGACTTTAACGAAACATTTTTTTTTTTTTTTTGCCATCAGGTTCGTGCAGTTTGTCAACAAAAACGGGGGACCCCAGCAACTCGGCGTCCAGCTGAAACAGGGCGGCGACATCGTCTCCATTTCCGTCCTGAATTCACGAATACCCAACTCGTTGAAGAAGTTCCTCGAGGGCGGTGAAGAGTTTCTGAAAAAAGCCCGAAGGTAAGGCTTACAGCGAAATGTGAATAAGCTTCAAAAACCTGTTGTCAAATTTAATCGGACTCATTAAGGATTCCGTGAGCGTTTCGGGACGGGTATATTATATATGTGCATTATATTGGTCTGTCGCTACAAGAGTCGATGATAAATTTCGTGTAAACGGGTTTGATTCTTTTTTTTTTTTTTTTTTTTTTTTTTTTTTTTTTTTTTTTTTTTTTTTTTTTGATTATTTCATTTGTTTTAATGACAAAAATAGACGTTTTTTATTCAAAAATGGTTGAAAGCAGTTGAAGTAAGCTGCTGTGAACATTTCAGTTTTCCATTTTTTCAGTTAGTTTAACCAGATAAGAAAGTAAAGTCATGATTTTTTTTCCTGTAGGAACAACGACTTTGATTTAAAAGCCGAAGTTGAGAGGTCAGTTGGTTGAAGTTTAACCACAATCCATTTTTTTGTGTGTGACAAAACCCCTTTACATTTGTTTGCCATATCACATTCGCAGATTTGGGCACAATTATTTTAGGGATTTTATAACATATATTTTTTCGTGGGCAAAGTGCACTCGTGTTGCTAAATAAATTTTTCATTCATCACTGTTCACAGTACTAGATGCAATGCAACACATTTTAGATATTAAAGTTTATTATAAAGTATTTTAATACTTTTTTACTGTGACTCTTTTTTTTCTCTCTAAAATTGTAATGCATCGTTTTTGTTGGAGAAAATTTTTGTAAGTACTTGAAAAAAGCAATTATTTCAGCACAAATAATGCATTGCAGTTTTAGAAGAAAATTGTTTAAGTATCCGTACTCAAGTCTGCCCATTCAATAATTATATTGTTCCCATAATTTTCTCACGCCCGAACGCGTAACGCAAAAAAAATCGATGTCAGTCCGATTCTCCGCAACATTCGATCTCATAATTATCATCGCCCCCCGCGGCCGCACGTATAATCGGCTGCTTTTACCCTGACCTTCTTACATTTTGACATCAATGTGTGTGATAAGAACCATCAATTATAACAGAAAGAAATTTTTTTTTTTTAATTTATGCCGCTGGAACGTTATAATCCCTGATAAACCAAAGTGGCCCACAAAATTCCTGCAGACGTATAGGCCATTGCAAATCTTTGAACGAAAAAAGAAACAGTCAAATATTTTATCGCACGATAAGAACGACAATAACGTTTACTCCGTTCCTGTTGTTTGCCAAAGAGCGTGTGCGTGTGTTCCTACCCCCCCTACAGTTAAAAGTAAAAGAGACGCAATCGGATGTGATTGAAATGAAGTAACAAAAAATTCGCAGGGCAATGGTGGAAGCTCGCAGCGTAATACCCGAGCAGGACGTGACATTTTTGCCGCCAATCACGCGCATGGACAAGCTCGCCTGCGTCGGTCTGAATTACAGCGGCCACTGCCAGGAGCAGAACGTCCCGCAGCCGGAGACGCCTGTGATCTTCAACAAGTTCCCCAGCACCGTCATTGGGCCCTACGACGACATCCATCTGCCTACCATTTCCGATGTGAGAATAAGTTCATAATGTGTTCAAACTCATAGGACACGCCGCTTTGGAGCCAATAATGCGTGTTTACTCGACTTTTTTTTTTTTTTTTTTTTTTTTTTTATCTCAACAAGTTTGGAAAACTTTTGTTGGCGCGCCGCGTACAACGGACAATTTTTTTTTTTCAAACAAAGATAAGACGCTGATTTTTTCACGCGTAGACGCGTACCTATATCCTCTATTTAGAGACGTCGAACGCACCGATCTTTATTTTTAGCAGCTGGTCGTTGCGTAATGCGTCGTTGAACCGTTATGTTTTTTTTTTCTCGCATCACAACTTTTGCACCTACTGTTGGTTTTTCAAATTTACCGCGATGGAAATTAATTTTTCTTACAATTTTCAAGCCTCGACCATTTTTTATACATATTAAAGAAAAATCTGTATCACTGCGTCTCGCTGCGGTTACACTTTTGCTCGGTCTTTGAATAAACATCATCAATATGTGTGAATCATCAAAGTTGATGGAACACTCGGACGTACATCGAAAGTAAACGCAATCGACCATTGCTTCAAATCACGCTCTAATCAATTACTCTCAAAATTAATAAAGTATAAAAAACCACCACTTCAAAGCTATAAACTTAGAACCAAATGTATCTGATGTTTTGTACGTTACAACTACAGTTACATAAGCGTAATTGTAGACTTGTAACTTTCAAACAGTGGTTTTGTACTTGACTAATCTGGGAGCACAAAGTATAAAGAAACATATATTGTTCCGCAGAAAGTCGACTGGGAAGCCGAGCTAGCGATCGTGATCGGGAAAAAGTGCAAGGGTCTGAACAACGACGAGGCCGAGGAGTGCATATTCGGGTACACGGTGGCGCAAGACCTGTCGGCCCGCGACTGGCAGAAGGGCAAGCGCAACGGCGGCCAGTGGATCCTCGGCAAGGCCATGGACAACTTCTGCCCGATAGGTCCGGCCGTCGTGCTCAAGGAGTCGATCGCGGACATCAAAAACCTGTCCGTCAAGTGCTGGGTCAACGGCCAGCTCAAACAACAGGGCAACACCTCCGAGCTGATATTCAAGCCCCACGACATCGTCGCCTACCTCTCCCAGTTAGTTTTTTTTTTTTTTTCTTTGTCCCCCTTACTCGTTTACGTGGTGCTATCGAGTTTCATCATCAGTTATTAACGATTTATTCGACCGATTTCAGGTTTATAACTCTGCTGCCGGGTGACGTTATTTTGACCGGTACTCCGGCGGGAGTTGGCTTCACGCGGAACCCACCAGAGTTTCTCAAGGTCTGTAAATTAGTTCGATTTCATGGTAAAAGGAAATGAGTTTTTGACCGATCGGTCGATTTGCAGAAGGGAGACGTCGTGGAGACCGAAATCGAGAGCATCGGGCGCTTGAGGAACAACGTTCTCTGATGTATCGAGAGTGGCTCGGTGCACGAGGAATCGATCGGTTCGAGAGAGCAAGTTTCGGTTCGTGTTGGGAACCATTGACTTGTACGCGCGTATAGGAGGCAGGAACGGTACTTTTGATAAAAAAGGTACTGCAAGAAGAGAGAGACACTTTTTTTCATCGTCCCTTTGGGATTTTCGTCAACTGAAACACTCATCGTCATTTTTACCATTGAAGCTGGGGTAGACGAGAACGATCCTCATGGCCAGGAATCATTTGGCATTTACAGATAAACCAAGTGTATTTAGTGTATTTAAATATCGTAGCATACGAATCATACGATACTTAAGAGAAACTAATGTGTGATAACCAAATCTATTGGAGCATTTGTGGAAATGTTTTATTTTTTTTCCTTGAACAATCTAACGAGTCGAGTGGTTATTTGTATGAATCATTGGTCTTTTAAATATTGTTTTATACTGTAAAATAAATACAACGATATTGAAACTTTAGGATCGTTTTTATTTACCGTTCAACTTTTTTTTTTTTTTTTTTTTCGATTATTTCATTTGTTTTAATGACAAAAATAGACGTTTTTTATTCAAAAATGGTTGAAAGCAGTTGAAGTAAGCTGCTGTGAACATTTCAGTTTTCCATTTTTTCAGTTAGTTTAACCAGTAAGTGTTTGTTACGGTAACAAATTGTAGTTAGTCCTACTACTTATTGTGAATACCGTTAACACTTATTAGTTTTACATGATTATTCTAATATTATTATAAATTTTTTTTTAGCTTTCTTTTATGTTAAAGAAATTATTTTCCTAAAGCATAAGCATAAAAAAGTGTACTTTTTGAAAATTCACAACTTATATATTTCCATTCTGCACATGGACCTTCAGTATCAAATGTTGACAATATATTGTTGTGATATAATTTATTTAACCATCTTTTTTTTAAAGTATTTTGACTTTTAGGGCATTAAATATAATGTTACACAAGTAAAAAGTAATATTTTATGTATTTTTTTAAATCTAGATTTGTACTAACGCTGTTGTTGCATTTGTAGTAAAAAAATTCTGTGGTCCTTTTTAGACCTTTTTTTATCTTCTGGTCATCAATGTTCCTTCACAAAAAAATTTTTTTTTTAACTTTTTTGACCATCAATGTGACCAATGATGTTCTCTACCAAACATCGACCGACGTGATGTTTTTGTAATTTTACTTACATATGATTTTTCGTAAATTGTATTACCTACTTTACCCTCCAACAGTAAAATACTTACCAACTTTGCTCGGCATCGATGCAGGGGAACAACGGTCGCTAATCAAGACAGGAAATGTTTCAATGTACGTTTGTCTTTTTACACGACAGATGTCGCAACCAATTCTGTCATTGACGGTGATGGTGATGAGCTTCAACTCCGCATCAATTATTTATACATATGCATCATAAAAGTAAAAAATAACATAATAAAAAATGAATTAAAAATTAAAAGTAAGCTTTCAGTACAGTCTGATCTCTTTAAAAGTTTACTTTAAAAACATATGCACAGATTTTTTTTTTGCATAAAATTTATCAGTATTCGATTAAAAAATACCTTATTAAAACTGTTCAATTGAAAATAATTTCGTGCAACGGATAGCTATACTTTAAAACGTTTCTATGATAATGAATGTTTTTATAGTTGACTCTTTGGAGATAAAACCAATAGCTTCTGATTTTTGATTTGTTCATACAAAACCAATAGTAGCTTGCCAAGTTACGCCGTGCAGGTGATGAAAATGATTTTTCCATTTGATAATCGCTCAATGGTTAAAAATGAATGCAACAGTACAATGGGTATTCCACCTTGAATTACCTTAATAAGCGCATAAATAAACAAAAAACACCATTATAAAAAATTGTATTACATTTAAGAAAATTAAATTAAAAAAAAAATTAACAAGATTAAATAAAGTTCACAAGAAAAAGTTTAAAAAAAATTTTTTTTTTTTTCAACTCTGACTAGCTAGTAGAAGCTTCTACTCAAGAAATCTATAACAGTTGAAAGAAAGTCCACTTGTTTCAACTATTTGAGAACAGCTTAACAAAATTATATAAATTTTAAAGAAAATCTGACTTTTCTCACCTATTATACATGCATATATGTGTATTATTACACTCAAATAGTTGTCTTTGAAGAAGATAATTATTTGTAAAGAAATTATTCCGCATAACGGGTCATTTCAGAAAAACTGCGATATTTTGAGATATGAATAGAATTCTAGATAGGTATGAATGATCACCGTAATGGTCCTTTTTTTAGCAATTCTCAAGCAACAAATGGAAATTTTGCAATGCCATTAAATTTGGTACACATACAGGCGTCTTCGTACACAATTGACGCGTATCCTCGTAAGCCCGAATAGGTGCATGCGAAATATCCCAACGACGGCGACAACCACACAGCCGTCGCGAGCCGAGAAAGCATTTCTTTTTCTTTTTTTTTCTACACTCCAAGCGAGCAGTTTAGGCGTCCAACTACTTAAAATGTAAGCGAGAAACAAATATAGGCGGACGAAGGTATACAAAGAAGAGCGCGTATATATATAGCCGGCCATGTACACGCGGGCGTAATTACTTCCCGTACTTTGCTTGTTCGTCAGGACTAGGGGGGGTGGGGGGGGGAAGTGGCCGGCGTACGCTGAATTTTTAATGCCGATTACAGGAGTAGGGGCGATAAGGAGTAATTGCGCGAGTGCGATAAAGCTTGTATAGTGGCGAAAATCATGTGCGGCGCACTCGAGGGGGTGGCGTAATTGAATACGTCGTTTGGCGTGGTGGGTTTATTTAAATTTGATGACTTATGGCGGGTCGTCGGGGCAAAGAGGGAGAGAAAGAAAGGACGCTTAGCTATTGTGTTTATTGCGTGGGCTTTTAATTATCGAATTGCTCTTAGGACTACGAAGGAGGACTTTATTTGATTTGTTTGCACGACAACCGTCACTGAATATCAGGGGGGATCGTTGTTTAGGTTTTTTTTCGATGTACGCATAAATCCGAGATGATATGGATTGGTGGGATATCGTTGAACTGTACGAAACCCCGTGTGATTCTATTTTTTTATTGGAGTTTGGAGGGTATTGTCACCATCAAATTGTTTAATAATTTTCAACTTTTCTCTATTACACATGTGCACAGTATCATTGTTTACATGAGTAACGAAAGTCCCGAAAAATTCATAATCAATTGCCTCGAAAATACTTTACAAATATTGCCAGGCTGGCTATTCGTGAAACAAAATGGATTTTTCAAGACATCATCGAGATATTTCGACCTCCAGAAAATTTAATCTACTTTGGGACTGCATTATATTATCGAAATGGCCAATGACCCACGGAAAACGACATTGTTACTTGATAAGAGTATGAAATTGTTTTTCATTTGTAAATTGCAATGATGTTGTAAAATAAAAAGAAAGTAATGTTATAATTAACAAATAGTGATTCCCAAAGCGAAGAGTAAACAATCTTTCATTGTTATGTTCTACGGCCGATATTGTTTACTTCCAATCGTTTGACTGTGTTCCTGTGGCGCAGCATACACAAGTGATACTTACCCTATTTTTTGAATACATCATCACTCGTTCGATGCACAATAGGCCAAACGAGGCGACCAATACGCTCTTGTGGTTAACCGCATAGCCCCAACGAATAGTCGAGAGCATTACGCACTTACACACTTTTGTGTGCAATGTACTTACGCGAACGCACGTGCATTATTACATAATATTTATTTTTTCCAATTTGTATATGTATACTTATCAGCAATCACACATTTTTATACAAATAGCTTGATTACTGGAGTATACTTGCCCGGAGCATTCAAGCTTGTAAGTATGGCTACTTACGGGCTCATTACAGCGCTTTGGTAAATTATTCGTTTACTTACAATATCTGTTTAACGCTTCAGAACATTGGGCGTTACTTGTATATACTCACCAAGTATCCTTTAAAATACTGGTATGGAAAAAAAATACTCGTGAGATTTAGTGGAATTAACCGTATCAACTGATTTTTTATTTTTCTTTTCTTTCATAATGAAATTTTAGAATGAAGTTCAAAATATGTGAACACCCCAATATTTTAATGTAATTCAACTTAAGTCGTTTTTAAACATAAGTTTATTCTTTTATTTCAAGAATCATTATTGATCGCTTAAAATAGTTATAAATGTGTGTTATGTATAGTGACCATAAGTGATAAATTGGATTTTTAGTAAACATAGTTATAAATAAGAATTTAATTTTAT